CTTTTTTTAGGGTCCATTTTTCTCATGGTCATTTGGTTGTTGGGCTGTGTGGAGACTTCCTCACAGGCACTTACGTTACCCTTACTAAGAAAACTGGTCTACTGGTAGATTTTTATCAGCCTGATTCACACACTGAACACCCCCCATGGTCTGGGTCTCCAAACAGAAGTCTTGGTGCAATGATGCTCCAACAAACTGAAAAATACATAGATCCCTAAGGACTGTAGCCACCAACATGCATACCACAATCAGAATGATGGCCATCGTTTCTGAGTCTTCATTCTATTATCTTCCCTGTTGAACTGAGACAGCCTGAGCCAACTGCAGACATAGGTAGTTTCTCTTTGTACCATGTCTTCCTGGTTCCCTGCATCGAAGATGTGTTCTGTTTATTCTCAGGGTCATCCAAGGCTCAAAGCTCGTTGTCATCTATTCTTCCTGTGTGAATGCTTACTGTAGCTGGGCATCTTCTCCATCCAGAGACCATTGTGTTTTAGCCATGGGGATTGGTCTGGGAGACTCAACACCACAGATCTAATTCCAACTGGAGTCTTAATGTGACTTGTGACCCCAGGGGTCCCTCACTCATTCTGTGAAAAAAGCCCTTGGGTGAGTAAATCATTAAAGCCCATCTCGGCTAGTTTATGGCCCCATGTACCTGACCAGTGAAACATCCAGATTGTTAGTGATCTTGAGAGGAGTTGTTCGGGGCACAGAACTTCCCGACAATGCTCAAAAGACCTGTCTATATTTGTGCTCCCTTGCTGAGTTACTCATGAAATTCATCTCTCAATGGACTTAGTGAATAAGATTGCTGTAGTTTCAGAATTATTTCACTTGTTTCCAAAAACATACTAATTTCTGTTTTTACTTTATGCCATTTATCCATTTGGTTTAACGAAATTAATACAAAAATCCTTAAACACCAATCTAGTAAGTAATAGTTTACAACCTCGCTAGAATATTTCTATTTATGTATTAACAACAGAAAGATTTCATTAATATAGCTTAATGTAAGCCATTGGCTCACAATTGTTTTTACTAATCACAGAGGACTGAATGAATTTTGATTCATTCCATTGGTTCAGTGAAATATGTTTATAAAATTACAGTTTGGTTAAAAATTATTTCATGCAATGAAAATTTCAATGTTCAGAGCTCTAAGTCTCAGCTGTATAAGCCATTTAATTTAATCTCATAGCTAGGGAAGTTTTGATTTGGAATCCTGATTCCCTTGCTATATTCTGTGCTATCTGGGGTAAGAGATTAACCTCTTATCCCCTGGGGGGGGCAATTTCTCGCTTTCTGTCTCTCTGTGTCTCTCTGTCTGTCTGGTGAGCGCACGCACCCTATAGCGAAAAAAACCTCTCCCCCCCCCAAAAAAAAGAGATTAACCTCTTAAAGACTCTGTTTTTTTTTTTTTTTTTTTTTTTTTTTTCCTTTTTTAAATAAAGAAAGCAGTAATATTTACCTCATGGGGCCAGCAGGTGGCATGGTGGTTAAGGTGCCGGACTTCCATATGGCCTCCTGCAGTTTGAGTCCCGGATCTGGTGGCTTGCTTTCTTACTTCCTCCCACCCCCCCACCCCCCAATTCTGGTGAGTGCACATGCCCTATAGCAAATTTAAAAAAAGTTTTTTTTTTTTTCTTTTTACCTCATTTATTATGGAGAGTATTAAATGAGGTATGCAAAGCACTCAGCATAGTTCCTGGCACATACTGTGTTCAGTAAGTACTGGCTTAGCATTTGTTGTTTTAAATAATATTTTCTTTTTTTTTAATAATATTTTCTTTAGAAAACTGTAATCTTTAAAAATGACTAAATTAAAAGTACACATGAAATATGTAATATAGTGGTTTGGTAAGAATTACTCTGTGTTATCTTACAGATACAGTAATGATTCAAATCTCAATACCTTCTAATAGTTCAATACCTGATACACAAGAGGAGGCTAGAACTTTCAGAACATGTCCAGAATGGCACAAATTCAAATGAGGATAGGATAAAACCTTACATTTTGTGGGGCAAAAGCATAAAAAACATCCTTTCTGAATCCCCCTTTCCCTTCCCCCTTTTTCTCCTCCACTTCAGTGTTTTGTTGAGAAATCATGAGATAAAATATTTCTTGATTGACGTTCAGGTCCCACAACTTGCTCCAGTCCCTGGAGGGAATGTGCAATGCCCTGGGTGCTCTTGTTAGCCACACATGAAACGGGAGCTGATGATTTAACTGGAACACAGCGTCAACTTGGGCACTTTAATTTTTCCGTGTTCTGTTTTTGTGACTGAGAAAGAAAATAGTTTACAACAGACTGAGGAATGAGAAAATGGACTAAAATGGGCCCAGAGACAAGGCGACGTGTCTCAGCCATGTTCCTGCCATACTTGTCTAAGGTAATTGCCCAAGGTCGCTTTGTTTTACTTTTTTGGAGAGAGATTTTTTTTTTTTTAAGAATTATTTTATTATTTTATTGAACTTTATTTATTTATTATTTATTTATTTAAATTTTAACAGAGAGGGATAGAGAGAGAGAGAGAAGGGGGGCTGTGAAAACAAGCCATGATGGGTCCGGGACTCAAACCACAGTCAGCCACATGGGAGTCTAGTGCCCTTAACTACTACATCACCCGCCGGCCCTGAGAGAGATTTTTGCTATAGGACACATGTGCTCACTGGACAGACAGAGGGACAGAAAGCAATAAATCACCCTCCCCCACCCCCCACCCCCAGGGAGAATGGCCATAGCACAATTCCTCCTCCTCCATTCTCCTCTTGGGATCTTGGGCATGCCCAGCATGGGCCTCAGACTGTGGGAAGCCATGTGAGAGTCCAGTAGCATAACCACTACGCTATCTGCTGGCCCCCCAAAGTCACATCTTAACAAATAATTTCCTTTGTTGAGGAAATTAGCTGATTAGTTGACAGCAAAACAAAACTACAAACTGCATATTGTACATCATAACCCACCTCCTGCCGGCCATAACGTTACTGAAATGTATGCTGTATCAAACACTAGAATGTCTATCAGATGCGTATGCTTTTCCTGTGAACCAATATAAACTCTTAGGAGAAATCAACTTGCGTGACCTCTCTTTTTTCCCCATCTTCAATTTAAATCGAACCTCCTTTGGAGGCCATTTGGATGACTATAGATTCCAGGAAACTCGGCTCTACGTTGACCTGGAAAGCAATCCATGACCCTGGCTCAAAGATACTCACTGCTTTTGAATTTTGTCTGAGCTTCTTTTATTTTGGTTGACATGATAAAGACATAAGTCCCTATTACAATTAAAACCGTTTTGCTAAGTTAAGATATATTCTAACCAGTGGGAAAATGCCGCCCAAGAAAGGGAGTGATTTTTAAATATCAAATTGTGAGTGCTCACTTCATTAAATGTACCCTGAACAGAGAAGTGTGAACAAGGGCCGTGTGGACAATCTGAATACCGCCCTGCTGACATTTGCCAGACACATGCAGATACACAGGCTCGGCGGAGCTGAAAGAGCTGCAACAGATGCTTTACCATGGCAACCCCTCCTCCCAAATACTCATCTGTTATCAGCTCAGGTAAAGAACACATGCGATTTGATGATTAAGAGAGAAATGTGGAAGAACAGAATGAGTCAATGAAAAACAATATGTCCCTTTCTTCACAGGTTAACGCTAAAAGTTATAGCAACGAAAAACGACACCAATTATTTTCTCAGACTACTTAGATGCCGAAACCATTTGCCTGTAAGCCACAGTCAATATAATTGCATTGTTGTACTTCCATTTCTGGGAGTACTGACATTCTCCAACACAGCCGTCATCTAGAACTGGGATATCAGATAGCAGGGTTTAATTCCTAAGCAAAACTGCTATCCTTTGGAAGTTTGGAATTTATAGTACCTAGTAAGTATACAAAGGAATTCATGGAAAAATAAAAAAAAAAATTTAAAGAGAGCATGATTTGTCAATTCAAGACTCAGAGATACCTTTGTGAAATATGTTTTGGGAAAGACAAACATTCAAAGTGTTTTGTAATGATAATCTCAGTGTTCTTGGTCTAGAAATGAAAGGTACTTATTTCCTTAGGATTCACATACAGGAATTTATGAGAGATGTTGCCTTTGAAGAGTCTCGATAGTAGGTTTCTTCAGATCAGCAGAAGAAAGGTCAAAAATAAGGTACTATGGGACCAGCAGTTGGCGTAATGGTTATATTGCACTCCCATGTAGTCAACCACGGTTCGAGTCCCGGAACTGGTGGCTTGGACTCATGCCGGGTGTGTGTGCATGCATGCCCAAGATCCTGAGAGGAGAATGGAGGAGAAGGGATTGTGGCGTGGCCATCCCCCCGGGGGGTGATTTCTCCCTTTCTATCTCCCTATCTCTCTCTGTCTTTCTGGCGAGTGCATGTGCCCTATAGCAAAAACCTCTCGGAAAAAAAATAAGGTGTTGTTCCTTTCTAGGCAGATACCTAAGTGAGCCATAAAGGGGGCGGGACAGATCAGCTTTCGCAATACTTGGTTGGGAAGGTCACTTAGATTCTCACTTAACCCAGTGATGAGAGGGCTGGGCACACCATTATGTAGCTAATTGACTGAATCTTTTACTAATACACAACTTTCTTTGGTGTAATGTCATAGTGATTTCTTACAAACATAGGACTACAGCAATTCTAGGAAATAGTCAAAATGCCCCAAACTAAGTGACTGTCAAAATTCAAGAGAATTGGTCAATGGAATATGAGAAAAGTCATACTATGAAGAAAACTCTTAGCACAATTGAGCTCACATTCAACTTGTCTAACAAAACAAAGCAAAGGATGCCTTTCAATATTTTAGATTGCTTTTCCTTTTGTTTATTTACATCTCCTGGTAGAATTGAGTGCAATATGGTAGAAAGCACATTCATTTTCACTCACTCAAAGCAATTCCCCCCATTTATATTATCATTTGCTTTCCTGAAAGATGTTCAGTGTCTGAAAAGTCCTAGGGAAAAACTGACTACTTACTTTCTTCTGAGAGATCGTTTTCCTCTGCTTCTCTTTCCATTTCTTTACACCAGCCTTCCATCCTCTTTGTCTCTGTATGCAGCAGTTTCAAAAACCATGAGCCATCCCTACGGCATGGGGACATCCTTCCAGTCTCTACTGTCTCAATGGACGACTCCAACCAAGGGTCGGGAGGGGGGAGATTTGAAGTGTCCACCTGGGTCCTATAGTCTTCTCTATAACTGAAGAGGCCCTGGGTCCGTACAGTTCTTACTGCTCCATACTGGGTAGGAGTGCTAGGTTCTGAATGCCGCTGGAAGGAAGAGCCAAACTGGAGACCTTTGTCCTCCATGGTGACGTGTCCTGGGAAGCCCTCCAGTTCCAAGTCAGCTTGTACGGCGGCCGTGACACTGTTTGAGCGTTTAAAACGTCCATGTCTAGAAAAAGAGGGAAAGAAGACAGATGGTAGTCTCTCTGAGATGACTTCCTGCAATAAAATCTCAAGTATAGCTTACAGAGAACTCACCTGGAGTTGACCACTCTAACAACTCATCAAAGAGATCAATATCTTTATCCATTGAATGTGTTGGTGCTTCATCTAGAAATATTTGGCTTCACAAACCATTAAATTTTAACTCTTAAGTCTCGATGTCTAGATAACATATCCACTTAATATTTACGTTTATAGGAAAAAGACAATGACCGTTAATACATTCCACCAACCTGGTGCTTGTGAGCCGTCACCTTCCTTTCAGGAATATGCTACAAATTTACATGACGGCCACTTTGTGGCAATAAATAAAATGACGTCCGTGTTCCTTCTTTGACATAAGTGGTATCTGCAAACCATTGCGTTTTAGTGATTTCCATGTCAATTTCAGGACTGGAACTCATTCTGGTATGTAGACAACTTAATATTGTCCCCATTAACCCTTGCAAGCAAAGTATAACTCCATATTCTGATTTCGGTGGATGTTATAAAAACGTGTTCATGACATATATTTGAAACGCTTTCACTTCCTCATAGCCAATTACTGAAATGATTAGCAGGAATGAGCTTATCATTGGAGACAGATATTGCTTGGTGAGGACCTTGTGTCTGTGGTTGTGTCTATGTGTGCTTGTGTGGTATCAGACTCTGTGTGTGGTGTATGTATGTGTGTGTGTGTAGTGTGTGTGTGTCTGTGTGGTGTGTGCCTGTGTGTGTGTCTGTGTATGCGTTGTGTGTTTATGGTGTGTGTGGTGTATGCCTGTGTGTGCGGCATATGTGTGTTTGTGTGTGTCTACATGTGGTGTGTATCTGTGTGATACGTGGGCGTACCTGCATGTCCCAAGTTATGGTTGCTATACACCTGGTTCTGCACCTGCTGGCACATAGCTGTGTGTGCAGCTGGTAATGAAGTTGCCACTTATTTGATTGCTGGAGGCTCAGGGGACTGCTACTAGCTGCTTATCGAGCTGGGAGGCAGCAGGCTCACATGCCCAGGTACAGAAAACACCCAGGTTCTTAGGAGTCTGCTTGGAAATCAGGGATGCCATTAGTCTGTGGTCTGAATTTCTTTGCAATGAGATTCTTTATTATTTTTTTTTTTTAAGAAGTTTTTGCCTTTAGGGAGTATGCCCTTGCTGGAAAGACAGAGGCAGTGAGAGGAAAGTGAGAAATCACTCTCTGAGGGGGATGGCCACACTATAATCCCTTTTCCATTCTCCTCCTGGGAGCTTGAGTATGCACATACATGTGCCTGGCATGAATTTCAAGCCACTAGGTCTGGGACTTGAAGTGCAGCCCACCCTGTAGGAGCCCGTGATGTAATGGCTATGCCACCTGTGGCTTCTATAGGTTGGGTCTTAAAACCTCCATTATGAGGGATGTCACCCAGCACTATACCTACCAGATGCTAATTAAAGGCCAGGATATAATGTTTTTGCTATATTTATATATGCTGGGGCCCACAGGTGGAGTGGTAGCTAAGGCACTGGACTACCACATGGCCAACCAGGGTTTAAGTCCCAGATCTAGCGTCTTGAAACTCATACTGGGTGTGTGTGTATGCATGCCCCAAATCCTGAGAGGAGACTGGATTGTGGTGTGGCCATCCTTCCTGGGAGATGATTCTCTCCTACTCTCTGTCTCTCTATGGTGAGCATACATGTCCTATGATACAAAAAAAAGAGGCCTTAAAAACAATTTATATATGCTATTATAAATATCAGCTAAAATAATAATTCTGCCCTTAAAAATATACTACTGTAATAAACATCCCTTTGTATGATTGGTCTTCAAAAGTTTTGTGGAGAATGGAATTCAAGTATGAGTTTATTCTGGTACAAAAATGTTTTGAAACCCATGCATTGTTTTTTTCATAAAACACATTTTCCATAAACTTTTTTTTTCTAATTTTTTGGTCAAATTTTTTGCCATGTTTGCTTGCCGGAGAGAGACAAAGAGAGGCATGGAGGAGGAAAGTAAGGAATCAACTCCATCCCTTCTCCTCCACTATCCTGGCAGGATTTTGGACATGCACACACATGTACCCAATGTGTTTTTTAGGCTGCCAGGCCAGGAACTTGAATCATGGAGTTGGCCATTTGAAATTCAGTGCTATATATATGTGTATATATATTGCTATAGGGCATGTGCACTTGCCAGAGATGAGAGAGACAGAAAGAGACAGTGAGAGAGAAAGTAAGAAATCGCCCCCAGGGGAAACAGCCATGCTGGGACCCCTTCCTCTCCATTCTCCTGGGATGTTCGGCACGCATGCACATGTGCCCGGTATGAGTTTCAAGCCATCAGGTCTGGACGCGAACTGTGGTGGGCCATGTGGGTGTCTGGCTCTTTACTGTGCTACCTGCTGGCCCCACGGTTTCCACGAACTTTCAAAAGATGCCTTGTATTTCTTATTTTGAGGTAGTTCCTTTGAAGTGAAATAATTTCACGGTCTAGCTACGATTTTGAACTTTCTTCCTTCTCTCTCTTTTGCTTTTTCCTTTTAACATTGTCAGGGGAGAAACATACATCTGCTTCACCCTGGTGCCATCCTTCTTTCCTCTGGATGAAGGACTTTGACTTTCAGGGCTGTCAGCCACTCTGTTTTTGCAGGTGGTAAATTACTTTAGCAAGAATGATTCCCCTGCCTCTTACAGAAACAAGACATAGGTGAATGCTAATTCATACTTGAACAACATAAATTGAGAAGTATAAATACATGACCCTGCTTCCACAAAGAACGTAAATTATGCGCGGCAGCATGGTCCTGAAGCTTGCCACCAGGTTTTTAATAAATGGTTCTTGCTTGGGGAGCATCACATATTTTAAAGGGGGTTGAGTTACCGCTTTTCATCTTCCACTTGCACACCAACAGAGTGGTATTCCCGCAGGCCTCGGCTCTCCGTGTCAGAGTCTGTAGCTGTTTCCACCTAATTCAACACAGAACATCTTATTTTAGAACGGAGCGAGGGACCTGAGCAAGGGACTGTTTGTTGTTGTTGTTCATTTGCTGTAATTATTGCATATTTCTTTAATTAATGCAGAAATGCACTTGACCCAGTAAAACCACAAAGAGAAAGAAATGTATTCATAGTGGTGTAATTATGTGGCGGCTGGGTTTCATCAAATTTTACATAACTACTTGAACTCAATGCTGCACTTCTGTCTCTTAAATGTATGCAGATAAAATTGCTTAGTTCAGCTTAGGCAAAAGAATAGGCTTTGTTGAACTGGATTATTATAGGACTTAAACGCTCTTATCAGACCCTACAGTGGAGAGTAAGTACAGCATGAACTAAACATAGCTAACAACAACAAATAAGCAATTTAATAGAATTATACTGATGGCTGCACCACATACAAAAAGACACAGAAAGGAATTTTAGCATTTATCAGAAACATGAAGGCAAACTCTCCACTGTGTCTACACAGAGCTGTCTCACATTTGCTAATAGGACTGCCAGGAGGGTGATGTTCGATCAGAACGGGAATCACGTCCTCCACAGAGAATCCTTATTGTGGCTGCATTTGCCAAAAAATCTTCTTAGACCACGAATTTGAATGATCACCAGCAGGGAAAAGTTATCACAGGAGGGGCTTCCAGTACCGTTCATTTATTAAAAAAGGAAAAAGTCCCCAAAGTCTCAGTACAAAAAGTCTGTGAAACCAAAAGTTAGTTAAGCCACAACTATCACATGATTTCAGGTGCTGAATTTGGTGTTTTGTTCCAAAATATTATCTATTGTATCAAAAAGGACTCTTGACTCGCATCTGAAAATGTCATAACTAAGTTGTAAAACACATCTTGAAAGTATTACTGGCCACTGCAATGATAATGTACCAATCATTCAACGATGATGACATTGATTTCTGCCATGAGAGAAACATTGTACTTTAGATGCTCAGTTGTAGTGTGTGATTGCCCTAAGCTTAAGCCTGTGCAACCTAGGGCCGCCTCTCATTTGTAGCAACAGGAAATAATGATGACAATAGCTGATATTTATTGCGATGATAATAGCTAAGGTTTATTTTATGCATACCGTGCACCTGACATTGTGCTAAAGTGTTATATAAGCATTATTGCATGTGATCCACATAATGACCCTGCTGCTGCTCCTAGCCACAGGAAACAAGTGGGAAATCAGAGAGGGTGAGTGATTCATTCCGGATGCCCAGCTTGTTGAGGGTAGAGCCAAGATTCTTACCACATCTCTCTGACCACAGAGCATGTTCTGTACTGATCTCCTATGGCCAGAAGGAAACAAGGTACATGAAGATCCTGGTGCTCCTGGCTAGCTACTGGGCCGTGGAAATGATCAGAGCTATCTCATCTTTAATAAGTATCGCTCTGGAGACGTGCACAGAAGCTGTACTTAATTCATGCTGTGTGTTTTGAAAGCTGGAAGAAGGAATGGATTGACTTTGAGAGGAAGAATTCTTAAATAAAAACCTAAGTATCCTGCTAAGATTTACCAATCTTATCTCTAGTTTTAAGCAGGTTAATGGCTTTATGAAATTTTACATTGCTGGACCAAAAAAAAAAAAAAAAGTGTTATTGCCACTGTTAACAATAGGATAGTATAAAAATACATACGGTGAAAATTCTATATTAGTACATAGTGAGCTATCTTGCTTCAAGTGCAGACTTTGCCATTTTATGACTATAACCTAATTTACTTAGTCAGTCTTCAAAGGAGAGATAATTTGGTTATTTTTAGTTTTCTGCCATTGTAAATTCTGTGCTATAAATTTGTACTTGTGTGTGCAAAAGTGTAAACTGTTATGAGTGTATTAATTTGGCGTGTATTGGGTCATTGGGAAAGTTATGACATATATTTGTATAAACGTAGAAAAATACATCATAACTTTCCCAGCGACCTAATAGTTGCTGGATCTAAAGTGTTGCTGTTTAAGAATTCAGTAGATAATGTTAAATTTGGTAGTTATATGATGTGAGTGAAATCTATGAATGTAAAGCTTAAGAAAAGAGCACTTGCTTTTATCAAAAATATGTTGAAAATACTTGCCTCACTCCACTTTTATAAATCTAGCCTAAAGAAATGATCTTAAATTCTGACAAATGTGTGAGGAATTCATTATGGCATTATTTATAAGGTGACATGGGGAGAACAGGGAGACAGTGAAGTAGGGAAATAGAACTTAGAGTAAATTATGATTTACCCATGACATAGCATGCTATAGGGTTATTTCAAAGGATTAAAGAAGTTATAAGATGAAAAATGCTTATGATGCCATGTAGACTAAAGAATGTAAATTAGCAGGTCTATGGCAATACAATTACAAGATGCATGTGCACACAAAAAAATATACATATTCATGTATGTTTGTCTGCACAGGTGATTGAGAAATACAATAAAAACATTTTTAAAAACGTATATTTCTTTTCTCTTGTCTCCAAATTTTCTCTAATATAATTTTTTTTGAGTTTTTAGCCTTAGAGTTTTTGCCAGAGAGAGAGACAGATAGTGAGAGGGAAAGTGAGAAGTTACCCCCCCAGGAGGATAGCTGCACCACAATCCCTTCTCCATTCTCCTCCCAGGATCTTGGGCATGCTTGCACATGCACCTGCCAGCATTTTTAATCCACTGGGTCCAGGACTCAAACCATGTCCAGCCTCCATGGTCGGCTGTGCCATCTGCTGCCCTTTTCCATAGTTAATTAGAAAAACATAGGTTCTAGAGCCAATCAGGCTGCATAACTTGTAGACTGTGTAATTCTTAAAAAAGTGTCTTAAATTGTGTTGGATCTGCTTTCTTGTCTTAAAATGAGGCCAACATCAAACATCTCATTTGATTGATGTAAAACTCTCAGTATGAAGCCCATTTTAGGTGAGTTGTCCATGGCAAATATTAATTCCCTGTTCTCTCATCTCAGCTTTTAGAACCATCACATGAATAGGTATATTAAATCAAAGGAGTATACACATCTGATGAATTGTACAGATTTCATAGCAGTTATTACATAAAAACTTTCTAGGGAAATTGAAGTTCTCTATTGTTGGAAAGGAAAGGCCAAGGGAGATATGCTAAAATCATCTACGGTCAGGAGGAGCTGAATATGTAACACAGACACATACACACTTTTCTTTTTTTCTTTTTGTCAAAGAGGATGTACGCTCACCAAAAATAGACTGAGAGATGGAGGGGAGAAAGCACTCTCGGTGGCTATGGGCATACTGGACAGGCATGGAGATGTGTCCAGCACGTTTTTCAAGGTGCCAGGGCTGGGATTTGAACTGCACAGCCAGCCATGTGGGATTTAGCTCTGTTAATCACTAGACTATAGGGCCAGCCCTAGAGGGAGCTAAACATTTATCATTTTCACAAACCATAGGAGTAGAAAAGCTTTGTGATACAGAGAAACAAGGAAATTAAGGATGAAGAAAAGGTATTACTATTTTCCACAGTGGAAAGGAAATTCAAAAGAGTCTTTTCCTGAGGAAATTCTGGCTTGAAGTAAAAACAGATTAAAAAAATAGTTCTGAAAAATATATGCATATATTCATTTCTGCAAGGTCCTCTGTGTATTAGGTAACTGTTCTAGGCATTGAGAATAAAAAAGATGAATCAGCAAATTCACTGCAATTTAAGTGAACTCCTTTTGAGAAAGAGAAGCTGCCATTTAAGAGGCTCCCCGACCAATGGGAAGACAGCAATATAAATAAGCAGTTACTGTGGTGATTGACAGGTGCCTCACAGAAGGGAATCACAACAAAGCTTGTGTGATTCTCACAGGGCACTGTCGAGAGGCCTTGAGCTGGGCGGTAAGGAGAGGAGGAGAGGAGGACAGGAGGACAGGAGGACAGGAGGACATTCATACATTCCATCTGTTTAAGAAAGCAGGAGTTTGGCGTGGCGTGTGTGTGTATATACACGTGTGTGCACACACGTGTGCACACATATGTGTGTATGAGAGTGTGTGCTCAATGTTGATACTGACGGGAGGAGAGCTGGAGGCTGAGGGAAGCCGGGTATGTCCTGGTCCCCATCCGGTACAGGGACCTGGGTTTACAGTAGAGTCCAAGTCAGTCAGCCTCAGTCTGAGCTGCAGCTTTTTGCAGAGATCCCAAGAACAAGTGCAGGGCAGGCAGTGGGAGCCATTCCACAGCAATGTTTGGTCGGAGCTCTGATCTGAACTCTTTGCTCTCTAAATAAGCTCATTTTATTGCTCTACCTTCAAAGCCTTACCCGTAGCAAGGCAGGTGTGTTATTTTTGATACTGTTTCCCTCGGGGACCCATTACAAGTCCAGGAGTTAAATATGATTTGTCACCCTGGCTGCCTGAGATGCTTGGGGCTCCGCACCAGCCGTAAGGAAGGGCAGGGTGGAGGAGCCTGTGAAAGGGGAGAATGGTCAGGCCGTGGGCTTGGGGGCTCAACAGTATCCTTTATCTCAGCCAGGATATTCCAAATGAATAATGACAAAGGCTTTCGAAGGTTGCCCCCTTCATCTCACCTGGTGATGGTAATAGAGTGGCAATCGTTCCTGTGTGTAGATGAAGCACACGGGATTGAAGGATTCCTGAGTATTAAACTAGGGCTCTCTTCTGCCAAACTGCAGTATCTGGGAGCAGTCAACATTTTCCACAGGGTTTTACAAACATGTGCACAAAAGAATGGCAAAATGTATAAAAGACAAATAGGTAAAAAAAAAAAAAAAAACCAAAATAAATATGAAGAAAGTAGCTGAAAGGTCCTAGAATAATGAAGAAAAGTGAAATATGGTCAGGTTATGGATTCCAGGTCAGATGATCTATTCAAAGAGAGTTGGAAAAATGTGAGCGAGCTCTTTTCCTAATCTGTGGACTGGACTGTGAGCTCCAAGGCTTGAGCTGATTTTCTCTGGGGGCAGGAGGGCAGCCAGACTGCAAGTTTGCAGTGCTCATGGGAACTGTCCATGCATGCTGCTGGAAGGGCTAGCCTCACGCTGCAGAGTCCAGACATCTGAAGAACAAGAGACTCATGGCTTATGTCTGGTATTATCAGCGCAGTCAGGGAGGACTGGCTTAAAAAGAAACGTGATTTGAGGTTAGAACACTTATTGGGCATCACAGTGGATGAGCTTAGCAGTTACATTCAAATCCTGAATTCAAATCACGGTTGTAAAATGTCATGCAATGGACTGTGAATCTGGGGATCCATCACTGTAAAATCAGTGAGTCGCTGAGAATATGAGCTCCCCAGAAGGTGCATTCAGTAGAATAATGCTTACTCAGTTCTAAGAACAACATCTGCAGCACGTAAATTCCAGTGTCTGCTTTTGGACAAACCTCTGCCCGAGTCTCTCTGGTGAGCGATGGTTTTGGGAAGACAGTCAGGGGTCTGAGTTAGGCAGGAATCAGTCCCATTCAGTACTGGTTGAGTATGCATGATGCTAGCTAGTCAGCTTTCTCCACAGCTGCAGTACAGAGTGACATCTGTTTGTTGTCCCAGAATGGGAGACATATTGCTTACACTCTTGCAGGTGATGGGGTGAGAATCAGGACAGCTGTCCAAGGGCATGGAGACATTTTGCAATTTCATGTCGCTTCTCTGGTAAACAGAGTAGAGCAGCTGGGAGGATCCAGACGCTCTCAGGATCCCAGCCTTCTGGGTGTCAGTTCACGGCTTTGGCACTTGTAGCTGGGCACCCTTATGTAAGTCACTTACCCTCCCTGAGCCTTAGTTTTCACATCCACAGACTGGGCACATACCAACTGGCATGTAGGGTTGAATGATGAGGATTAAATGAGCCCATGGCAGAGAGCTAGGACACAACGTGTCTATAAGGTTGCTTATTCATTTATTACGATTTTTTACTCGTACCTTGACAACATGAATATTGTCTCTGGCCTTCCTCCTAATGCCCTGCAGGCATCTATGGATGATCCTCTCATCCACTTAAACACACACTTCATGCTGTTTCTTTGTTCTCTACTCTTTGTGTTGGCTTTCTAAACTCACTGAGGATTCATTTCTTTAACTATTTTCCTCATCCTGACACTTGAGTTTCATTGACCACATTTTTTTTCCATTTTTGGTTTACTTCATTTTGACAATTGTGAGGTTACGAACACACAATATTGTGCATTTTTTACTGTCATAAAAGACAACTGAATTAGCCATCCACTTGTACTCCTGCATCCACATGTATCTTTCTCAACCACTCACCCATTGACTCATCCATCCACTCACTTATCCAACATTTACCGAGCAATCTCTATGTGTCAGGCACTGTGCTAGGTGCTAGGGTACCAAGAGGCAGAAGATACAGTCCCAGCCTTCAGAGAATACACACTTTTGGAGAATGCTGTCAAGAAAGGGTTCCTGGAAAGGGTTGGTGCATTAATGAGCTTTAGGAGATGAAACAGGGACAAGTGTGGAAAAGATGTGGGTCTTCCATAGAAGGAACCTGAGCAAAGCTGTGGGAGTTAGAAGTAGGTGAATCCGGGCTAAGTGGAAGATGCTGGAGGCTCCTGGCTATAGAGTCGGGAAGGCATGGTACCCTTTATCAGCGTGACAACCTAATTTTAAGGGTTTCTGAAACTATGCCCCCACCGCTTTCAGATCAAGTCAGTAACTCCACCTCTTCAGAAGTGTACACTTGTCTCCTGTCAAAGCTGGGGAGGGCAACCTGGAGGAGTCTCATGGGAAGTGTCAGGTGAGAAAGCCAGAGAGTACATTAAACACTTGGCAATGGGAAGTTGCCTCCCTAATTTGGGGACCTTAAGTTTTTATTACAGATGGATTCTGGAGCCAGAGAGATTGATGAATGCACCTCAGCCTTCCCACTTCCTTCCACAAGGACCCCAGAAAGTCTCTGGGCTGCAGACCAGTTACAGATAGTTGTGATTTCAAGAGTTCTGTGCCATGAGATGGGAGCACCTAGCATAGTGCCTGGCATATAGAATCACGACAGAGAGGTGACAAGAGCAGTTGTATGAATAATCCAAAAAAGGGAGATAAAATAAAATTCATGCGAACTTGGCTTTGGAGATATTTTGGTACTTACATCTGACCTTGGGTATGGCTGATGCTCTGGGAATTCAGAATCCTAAACAAAACAATGAAGCCACAGTGTGGACACCTGGTTCAGAGGACCTAGGCCACCGTGTCCCCACCATGCCTCTCACACCAGTGCCGAGCATGGCCTGGCTCTCACTTCCAGCTCCACTCGCCCTCCTCCTTGGGGGGGCGCAGTGGCAATTAAACAGTGACTTAAAACTCCGCTGGACACAGGCTGAATAGAGGAGCAAAAGGAAGCAAGAGGTGAATCTTGTCGGCAAAGGACTTGACCATAATCCTGATTTATCATGTTCATAATATCTCAAAGGGAAAGGTTACTCAAAACATATTAAAAATATTTTCTTCTGCACCTCATTGCACTTAAAATGGACTTGCTGAAAGGGGCTAAGGAGCAGACAGAAGCTAGCCAAAGCTTCTTATTCACAGGTAGAAGACATCCACCACCAAATCTCTCTCTTGGGTAGATATTTGGCTGGTCAATCATCCATGCTCTGAAACTATGGGAGGCAGCGTTTGTGGCCAGAATCAAAGTCCTCTACAGTACCTGGAAGTCTATAGAGATGGCCTGTCAGCCGCTCATGTTCTAAGTAGCTGCAAGCATCCCTCTGTTCTGTACAAAGGAGGACTTGTTTCTCTTCCTACCTTTTAATTCCCAGTGCCTTTTTGCTTTCCCCCATTTGACTGTTAGGCTGCAAAATGGAAAAGCTTTAGAAAAATCAGGCTTCATCAAAGAAACACGTCTTAAGCGTTAAAATAGCCTCATGTCTATACACTCTCATTTGTCCCTTGAAGATGCATAAGCAGGGAGGGAGGGAAGAACTTCTAGGGTGGCAGGGGACGTGGAGCTTGAACCCTGGGTCTCCTTCAGTCTTGCACTGGAACCTGCCTCACTCGGGTTGGGCGCCCACCTGCTCATTGCACTTGCTGTTTGGCAACATGAATGCATGGCCTGGCTTCATGTTCACTGCCCTCCTGAGGCTCACAGCTAAGGCTACGGACCTGGGCCTGTTTGATTTTCACTTACTCTATACTATTTGCAGTGCTGAGCAGGCTAGAGCACTAGAACCACACAGGAAGGAGAGGCTACCTGAATCCCGATGGAGGAGCATCGGCTCTTAAGGAACTCCTCAGCCTTGGACACCAGAATCGCCTTGTCGCTGGTCCGTGTGGAAGTACTCTGGCTGTCAGCAGCGTGGCGCTGGGCAGCAGCTGTTTCCAGGGCGAGATTCATGGCCTTGTTGCTATCCAGACTGTCTGTGGAGTTGTAGAGGCCACGGCCATCCTGGGGCCATGGGGACATCCTCTGAGCACGACTGTCCTGGTAGGCATCTTGTGTGGATTCGGTGCTGCTCTGCGCTGTTACCGAAATCAGAGGCTTGGAGGTGGTCCGAGGAGGTACCGGCGGAGGTGTTTTTTTATAATTCGTATATGAAACAGCTATAAGAAAAAATATCCAGGTCAATAAATGTATTTTCTCCCCAATGGCATCTGGTCTACTACTTTGATATGCTCATAGCCTGTGAGCGGTTGAGCAAGTCTGAAGTCTAGCCTAAGAAAATAACATGAACTGTAAAGAAAAGGGTGTGTGCAATGATGGTCTCCATTGATAGATTTGTAACAGTGGAAAATTCTAAAAGCACCTGAATATACAGTGATAGAGACACGATCAAGCAATGTTTATCTCCACAGGAGAGAATGGAGCCACACCATCAGTTTTTTGCTGGTCCTGGTCTCATGAGAAGTGCTCTTTTTATTATGTTAACAAATCAGGCAGGATACCAAACTATACAGAGACAAGGATGAACTATAGTCATAAAGAAAATCTGCGTATGAGAAAAGTTCGGCAAGACATAAATATCTCAATTGTGATGATTGTTGAAAAACAATGTGAGCGTTGTTTCTCTTTCACTCGGCTGTGGTTTCTTTTGGTTCTCAGCAGTTTTCTTTTCCTCCTAATCTGCTCTCAGAATTCCTGGGCTACAGTGCATTTATCTTTTCCTTAACAGTGGTGGCCCAGCCCCCAAATCTGCTTTTTATGAAGCTTTTCTTAACAGTGTTTGTATAGTATTGATTTTTCAAGGACATTGAGTACTACATATACCCACAAATAGGAGAAATAGTGGGGTAGAAATGTGAAGAAAGCTCATGGATAAAGAATTTTTCATATGACAGCATTGAAAAGGAGGTGGTTGTTTTCATGTTAACCCATTTGGCAGGGTTCATTTACAGAAAGAAGAGCCTTTATCCTTTAATCACATCCTTGGAGTCTATTGACCCCACAGAAAGCAAGCAGAGCCGTCCACTGCACGTTCAGCATAACTGTGGATACACCTCTGATTGCAAAGTTCATTCTGCTTTGATTCTCTTAGACGAAAGTATCGATCCTGAAGAAATTTCAGATCCAAGAGGTAATGATAACAAAAAGCAACAGAGAGGGACCAGCAGGGGGCATGGTGGTTAAAACGCCGAATCTCACACACCTGACTCTGCAATTAGAGTCCCAGACCTGGTAGCCTGAAAATCACACCATACGTATATGAACATGTGCCCAAAATCCCAGGAGGAGAATGGAGGAGAAAGGATTATGGTGTGGCCATCCCCCAGGGAGGGAGTGATTTCTCACTTTCTCTGGTGAGCGCATATACCCTATTAGAGTGGGGAGAAGCCACAGAGAAACATAGGGATATAGATTTAAGGTTACACCTGTCTTAATATAGTTATCTTCGTGATGTTAGGATGACTAAAAAGGTAATCATAAAATGACAACATTGGCTAGATTTTCCCAACAGCGTTCATCTTACTGGTGACCGACAATGCATAGTAATGACACATCACAGGAGAGCACAACAGGACGGAAGGTAGTCAGCTAGAGAGCTTCCCGGAGACTTTCGGCAGATGCACTCTAATTCACCTTGTCTGTGGCTTATTCACTGTCTCATAGTTATCCTCAAAGGTGTTCTCTCACCACTATTCAAACTTATCTGGAAATCTGACAAAACAACTAAAACTTTCTTCCTGTATGGAATTTCTTGTCAATTAAAGAAAAAATAAAAGAGGAAAATACAGAGTGTTATGACTTAATCTTTGTGATCACAAGAAAATCAAACATCACATCTTCTCACCTTATAATGAGTTTGCTACAGGGTGATGACATGCATTTTTAAATTGATTTCTTTGTAAAAATATAGCCAGACAACATACTTTCTAAACTAATTAATTAGGAAAGAGCAGATCACCTCTAGCATGCAGAAAGACTAATTTGCTCAACTCAGGGAGGGCAGAACAGTAAATTTTCCTGGATGGCAAGAGAAAGTTTATGCTATTTTCAGATTTGTGTCCACATGCCATGAGGATTGTTACAGGCCTACTGAAATGAGAACATGCTTTATTGCAATTTGCTACAGTGCTTATTCAGAGCAGAAGAGATGGGACCAATTCTGCAAAGGCAGAGAGAGTCCTACCAATTGGCTTTGGCACAGTTATAGTTGGAACTTTTATGAAAGAGTAATGCTCTTCACCATGTCAGCAAAGCTCAAATGGTGACGTTATTATTTAAGGTGCTATATTCTCTTCTCTATTCTCATCTTGGGATTTTGGGCATGCACAGACATATGCCTGGCATGAGTTTTAAGCTGCTGGGTCCTGGACTCGAACCAGTCAGCTATGTGGGAGTCCAGCGACCTAACCATCACACCATTTTCTGATCCTGATTTTAGTAAATAGTTACCTAGAGCCAAAAATCCTGGCCCCAATGTGGTCAATAATTAAATAGAAGGGATAAGCGTGAGAACCAAAGTGTGTGGCTTGAGAGACTAAGAAAAGCCTAAGCAGAGAATGGATCAGAGGCTAAAGGAAGGCTTCAGAGCAGTGATGAGCCTTGGCCTGCACTTTCAAGGATGGGCAGGGTTGTTACAGGGGGAAGGATGAGTGCAGCATACCAGTGGGAGACATAACCTGTCCATTGGATGTGTGGATGCAACTGTCCAGACTCATGGTTGTTGACACTGGAAAGGAAGCACTAGGGGAACAGAGATTTGTGGAAACAAAGCACTGAGAGGAATACAGATTTGTTATGAGTGGGTCTGTACTCATCAATAAGATTCTAGTCCCTGATTTAAAGATACTCTAAAATTGCATTTCAGTGATCTGGAGGCTCTTGCTTGGGTGACTGAATCGAGTGTTTACATTAGTTTTCTGATGATAAAGTCCAACTACCTCTTTTATTTCTAAGTGTCATTGAGCTTTCTTCAAACCATTTCCTTTCTGGGGAAACAGCGAGTGACCATTCTACAATTCTTTCTTCCTCTAAATGGAAAAATATCCTCTAATGTTTGAAATTTTTCTCTGATATGTATTTTGTTGATAAATTTTTGCTATAGGGTGCATGCACTCTCCAGAGATGTATAGCAAGACAGAGAGACAGAAAGTGAGAGATCGTCCCCAAGGGGGATGGTCACATCACAATACTTTCTTCTCCATTCTCCTCTTGGGGGTTTTAGGCAAGCATGCACACACATCTGGCATGTGTTTCAAGTCTGTGGGTCCAGGACTAGAACTGTGGTTAACTACATGGGAGTCCAGTGATGTAACCATTACATCATCTGCTGGTCCCCTTTCTGATACATTATAGTATTTTAATATCTTGAGCTTATTATTACCATTGTTCAACTTCTTGATTAATGACATACATTGTTAAATACCTTAAACTCACTATAGTTGAGTTGCAATAACAGACTCTTAGGACTAGAGAGATTTCGAGACTGTCAGATGATACCTAACCCATCACACATGGAATTTTAGAGATCCTTTCTATGAAAATCTTTTTTTTTTTTGAGAGTTTTTTTCTATAGGGCACGTGCATTCACCAAAAAACACAGAGAGGTAGAAAGCAAGAAAACACCTCCCAGGGGGGATGGCCACACCACAATTCCTTCTCTTCCATTCTCCTCTCAGGATCTTGGGCAAGCACGCACATGCGCCTGGAGTCAGTTTAAGCCACCGGGTCCAGGACTCAAACCACGGTTGACTACATGGGAGTCCAGAGACATAGCCATTACGCTAACTGCTGGTCCCCCTATGAAAATCTTTTGAAAGGGAAATTGCACACACTTCCTTTCTGGTTCTATTAGAACAAAACCAAGTCTTTCCTGCTTCAGACATGCATGATGTCATTGTGTGATCTTTGAGCAGTTACCATCTGTCAGTCTCCATGTGCTCATCTGTATATGTTGTCAGGAAAAAATGAAAATGAAGCATAGGTAGTAATAGAAACTAGCGTTCAGGAGGGGTGGCCACTATAAGAGTGGTTATTCAAAACCACTATTGTCTCTATCCCCAACGAAGAGGAAGAATAAACACCATCAACAACCACACATTCAGCACCATTCCTTCATTTCTTCAAAGACTGTTACTAGGTGACCGTATGTATACTTATGAGAGACAGCCACAAGAAAGAAAAGGCACCAGAGGCATTCACACAAGAACACATGCCCATGTGGGTGTAGTTCACGGAGCATCCCCTACATGCCAGGCAAGCTCTTTGCAGCTCGTTGAGCTTCAGAATAATTTGCCAGGAAGACGGTATTTGCATTTCCATTTCACAGATGAGAAAATGAAGGTTCAAACTGATTTAAATATTTTCTTGATGTCAATCAGCAAATAAATGGTAGAACTAAGATTCCAATGTCTCTTCTGCTGTAGGTTTTAATGATTCTTGTTTATGTTTTTCTTTCTCTGATAACTTACATAGCTCCATCTCATTTCTCATGGCCTGATCCAATTTTTTAAAGAGAGAGGTCTTTTAACAGTGCACGGAGTACATTTGCCCACTGCAAAGTTAAATGGGAAAAATCACTTATCTGTTAAATAAGAATTATATCAGTTACAGGTTTCCTAAATAAATAAATATACACACACACACACACACACACACATATTTATATATATATTATATATATATATGATATATAAAAATAAATAAATACATATTTTTTTCTTTGCCTATATATAGAGGCAGAAGAAAATTTAGAGACTTTAGAGATTATACTCTGACTCTCCATGACCAAAATTATCTAATGAAACTTTTAACCAGTAGTCTTAAGACAGAATACGAGGAAATTAACTGAAATGATTTCTCCAGGCCTTAAATACAGCAAACCTGTGATAATTATTTTAGAATAAAAGGTGTTTGAATATCTGCTTACTGACCTAATGACATAGTTCTCTGGTGGATAGGAAAAGTCACAGGGGAGCCAATGGTTTTTAAAACATCAGCATTCCCATATCATGATACTGTGAGAACCCGAGTCACTAAGGTAGCCCTCCTGTCTTCTATTCCAGGCCTTGCAGAGGACACTGGCTCACTGCATTATGAGTAACAAAACTTTGCATGCGAAGTGCTTGCTGTTGTAGCTGAGCAGTGATGATGTTTCATCACT